GAGAGAGAGAGAGAGCGAGAGATTCCCCATAACGCCATACCATGGCCTGAGCTTTCCCTGAGCTCCTGAGCTGCCGACCGGCTTGCTAGGAGAGGTCGGCTCCATGCAAGGGGAGTACTGAGCAGGACCTGAGCGATGCCGCAAGGGGCTCCGATCCAAACTGCGAGCATATGATCTCCACGAAGGCTTACATCGTCTTGTTTACGTGGTACTAGGTCCATATAGTCACAGGCTTTAAATTGCACAGGAGGGTCTGCACCAAACGTGCCGCAGGGGTTGAACATCAAAGCTGCTGCCGCGGTGCCATCAATATTAGCCTGTCTCAAGAATCAGGCTAGGAGCTGATGTACTTTTGCTGTTCCTTCGGCTTGTGCCGGCCCTGCATAGTGAAGGCGCCACAATACCTCTCGCCAACGAAGGCGGTGGCACACAGCAGGCACTTAAGAAGGCAGGGGCATCGCAGCACGGGCATTACACATTTTCCCTAAGCCTTAGCCCTCAAAACATGTCGGCGCGCCGGCCAGGGCTTCGATCAGAGACTCCGAAACCGTTGGGCACAGCGTAGGCTCCTGGTCCTGGGTTTTCCTGAGCTGTCAAAGTCCTTCTTTCGGATCCGGACTCTACTCTTTGCAGTAAAGCTGGTGCCATCCAAGCCTCGGTAAAGTATTCCAAGAGCCTGTCGCCAGTTTCTCCATAGCGCCTCGCATATTGCTTGAACTGTCACTGGACCATTGAGATTTGCTGGCCCTTCTTGGTGATTCCCCCATCCGCGGCTTCTGGCCTGCGCGACGATGCGCCGTCGTCCAGGGAACCAAACTCGGACCTCATGAGCCGAGATCAAGAGCAGATCTCAAGTGCATGGGGCAGTGCAGGCCAGGCCATGCAAACAAGAAGCCTTCTTTGGGGCACACTCCCGTGGGCCTGTGTGTCAAACCATCCTGCTGAGCTCATTCCGAAGAAAAACCCAGTCTGCTTGCAAAATCAAGAGTCTCTGATGCCAGGTCCTCAATCATCCAGTTTCAAGCATATGAAGAACTGCATCACTCATAATCACTCCACATCCGTATCAAGCAAGATCCTGCCAGAAGAAGGCGAGGCAATGTGAAGCGTCATGACTGCTTTCTGACTCCATGGTTTATCTATGCTACTTCGCCACCACCAAAATGCTTTTATCGTTCAAGCAAGCGGGATAATTTGTCTCACAACCCGAGAGCGACAGCGACGCGCCAGAACCTCGATGCGTGGTGCTCAACTTGACAGCCCAGAATCTTCGTTGGGCCAGTTGTCCAGAAAGGATACCTCGTGCAGCTGCAGGCTGCCTTTGCCCATCTGATCCAGATTGTGGAACAAGCTCTTACCTTAGGATCGCAACGGTCCATTCTGCTTAAGGGCAGTATGCGGGCAAGCTCTGGGTAGCATTTCACCTTTGGCCAGCTTGCACTCACCCGTGAAGCCATACATCCTGACAGCTCAGCAGCTGCGGCTACGAGTACCAGGTGTCAGTTCAGGCCAACGACAGTCACCTCAATGGTCCTGCAGGCACTCTTGAACTCCTTAAAGTTCAGCGACCCCGAGCCATCTGCATCCAGCACCTGAAGGGTGTCGCAGTCGGGCCATACCAGCTTCGTTTTGGGCATGACTTGAGCATGTAAACGATAGAGGATGTTATGACCACCACGGATGTGCCTGGGCGAAATTCCGACGGAACGCTTCCCCCTCAAACCGTGCCTACTGTTCAGGGCTTTATCGGTATTGGAAGCCTTTCTCAGGATGGGAAGGCACAATTACGAAGATGACTGAGCATGGGCCGCACAAACTGGAACGATACTCTTTGACATCCTGTCTCCGATATCAGCACCGAACCCCCTCATTCAGGCCCGTACCTTGGGTTTTCGGGATGGCCTGTTAAACTGGTTGTGTCGCAACCAAAACCGTGAGGGAGAAGAGTCCAGCCTTGAAAGCCGACCTCACTCCGCCAAACTCCGCATCCGCCCAGGTCTTGAAGTTAGTCAAGCATTCATGGGCTTCCTGAGCGGTTCCAGCATCTCCCCATCAGCTCAAAGCTTGGCCGACCATCTGACTATCGCACAGAGCTCTGCCGGTGCTGCCAAGGTGCAGGGTCAACCTCCTGGCTTTGAGAGATGGGCAAGAACACAAAGGAATTTAACCAGTGGCAGATGCGAGGTGCGCCAACATGGGTGAATGCAGGCTTCGGGAGATTCAATGTTCTGACAGCTGTTCTCAGCGAGCCCTTGGACTTCTTGCATGCATGCTTTCATACCGCCTGCCAGGAAGCTCGAACCCTCGCAAAGCCTGCAACATGAGCTCGTTTCAACTGGCCTTCAGAGATATGCTGCCGCTGCAATCCTTGGGTGCAGGAATGGTGCTTTCTCCGCTCCAGTGCAAATGCAGGGCTGCTCGTCAAGGCTCTGAATCCAAAGCCAACCATGCTCCGGCCAGGTTTCCATGGAAACGGACCAATTTTGCTGCCTGCAGTATTATTGATCTCTCTATGGTCACAGACACATACATGCATAGCTAGACAACTCTAGGCGCTATGCTATGCCAGCTGAGCAGCACCGCAAGCAAATAAATTTCTAGCCGAGAAATGAACATAATATCCAACGTTTGAGTCATCATGTCTGAGTTGGTTGGACCCGAAAAACCGAACAGGGTTTCCATGAATGTTGAGCTTCCTATACAAGGGAGGGTTGCGGTCCACGTATTCTTGATTCACGACGGGCAAGGCCGCGAAAACGTGGGGCTACATTTCTTTTTGGGTGTTACAGTACCTGGAGTCCTGCTACGTATGTGGTGGTCCGGGAGCTGAGCGGACAGTCACATGCTTGCATCAAAACCTATATATGTGTGAGCAACAAAACACCAAGCCACAGGGAGAGCATTCTGCCAGATTTAGTATCGATACACCTTATCAGCCTTGAAGACGTGCTGGGGCTTTCAACGGTTTAAGCCTTCAGCACGCTTCCGACTGGGCATTTCGACAATGCCATTGGAAGATTTCTTGCGAACTTGCAGCATCTTGCGGCTCCAACCGGAAGGGAGTCGGCTTGAGATGGTAACACCCGAACGCAGAAAGTCCAGGCAGCACGCCGCCTCCTGGAACTCGTGCCAATTGCAGCCTGAGTTCTTGCAGGCTGTGTCACTTGTCACTCCGGCCGAGATGGCCGATTCTTCGTCAGCGGCTCAGTCTCAAAACAATGACTCGGACAGTCGAGTTAGTATGGCCAGAGAGGCTGTTTGAGCAATCCTTGTCCATAGCGAAGCGCCAGGCCTGTCGAATACGAACTGCAAAGGCAGCAAACCCTCTGGCACCACCTGCCTTGAGGATGTGACCGTGTCGCGCTACAAGCCTTGAAGCTGGAGGTTGAGTAGAGCTTTCGCGCAGGCTGCAATCACTAAGTCAGGAAATCTTTGCTGCGGCTCCCGGCTGTTTGCGAAAAGCATCGGCGGCCGCCTGGTCTGCAACGGTTGTGAGCCAGGCCTCGCAGTCTTCACGTTTCAGAAACTCTCGGCTTCCGATGCCACTCCCTGAACCCAGGCGCGGGGGCTCGCCAGACGTCCATGAACTCAAAATCACGGGCGCAGATGTGCTTCCTCAGCTCTCATTGTCTCGTTATCTCGGGCTCTCATAAGTTATGCTCCGCGGAACACGAGATGCCCGGAGAGGGGGCGAGAGAGAGAGACAGAGAGGGAGAGAGAGCGAGAGCCAGCGAGGGAGGGAGGGAGTCAGACAGAGCGAGTGAGTGAGCCAGTCACGCAGAAAACGAACAAACTAAAGCTACATACGGCTCACACCTGAGCAACAGGGGCTGCCCGTGTATATAAGAGTACTGATCATCACACCGGCTGAATAGATCTCCAAAACATAACCCTCAATCACAAGAGAAGGTCGGTTGCAAACCGGCAGTCTGAGTCTGTGATATAGCTTTCGGACTCCTCTACTTTGTGCAACTGAAAGATGCCTCCACAGACACATGTAAATTGCCAAGTCGCTTCTCCTGCCAATCTAGAATCGAAGCCACCTGTTTGGCATTCCGACCAAAGCCATGAGACTCCAATTCCTGGTCGCGTTGCGGAATCGAGCTACTGAACAGCACAGTAACTTGTGCGCAGGGATTTCAGCTCATGGGCTTAATCAGCATCCCAAGCCAGGCATCGAGCAAGGTGGTACAAAAAGCAGCTGTGCGCAGCCCACACAATTAATTGCGATTGCATAGATCCCCTTTGGGGTTTTAGCCGTCTCAAGTCGGACTGACCAGGACTTATGCAGCACATGAGGGCTGTGCTCACAGCCTGGCTAGACTGAACCAACGTGGACCAACTCTGCAGCCAAGTGTCTTGGAGGAACTCGGCATGGGTCAACCTCTTTTTGCCTCGGCGGGGGCCATTCTCTCGCAAAAAAGCTCAAGGAAACCTCGATGAGCCGACCAATTTCGGACACCTTCTGCCGCCCTTCGGCACCACTGCAGCCTTGTGGCGAAACCGGTCCAGCACCTCGAAAGCCTCACTTGGCCTTGCGGCACCGCAACCATGCCGCACTCGCGTCTTTTATGCATCAGGCGCAACGCAAAAGAGTATGGACGCATGGCGACTCACTGTGCGATGCTTTGCTGTGCGACTCGAAAGGCTTCGTTTGCGACGGTTCCAGCGTGCCTGGAGGAAGCACACCGAGACACACACTGACCGACAAACCTATCCTTCTTCTCGGATCGGTTTGTGGTTGCTAGTGAAGAGAAAAGAACGAGCGCGACTGCGACTCTAAAGGTGCAGTACCATAGGCTCTCCACCCGCCTCTTGGACGGGCTCGTCTTCAAGGCCCATTCCCGGAAATAAGCCAGCAATTGCGCAGATTGAGGATCCAACCTGGGCTGCCAGCAATCCTTTGGACTTTCACCTTAACGTGGCTCCTCATCCACTGCTTGGCTGCCCGTGGCGCCGTGGCACAAGCTGATAATCAACAAGGTATCCCACATTGGTGAAGTTAGATGCGACTGTAAGCCAAGTAGCTCCTCGATGGTAGTGATGCCGCTTGCATCATGATCGAGTGCTTGCCACAAAGCGCGGCAGTTGCCCTTCCAGTTCAACATCTTCACCGCCTCTGCACTCATGCGGCTCGACCAGGGGCGCCAGATCAATATCCAGGCTATGCAACTAAACAAAGCCAGAATGCATGCTAACAGTCGTGTACCGGCGCCTTGAAAAGCTCAGAGCGCTGAAGTGTCATGGAGCCATCGACATCCAATGCCTGACGAAAGCTTTGCAAACTTTGCACGCTTTATCACGCTTTGTCGCCTGCTCAAGCACCTTACCCACCTTGCCTTCCTCCACGCTCTCAGCATGTTGCCGAAATGCTTCTTCAGGAAAGCCTTGGTGCTGAGCTTGGTGGCATGTTCGATTTTTCCCTCCTACTTAGCAAGGACGAGCCCGCATTGCAGGGTATGTCCGGGACTGTGGCAGATGCACAGCAGAAATTCGTGATATGAGAGCCCAATTTCGGCCGCTAGGGGCTCACTTGCTCAAAGCGCATGGGTGTCCAGAGATGCCATCGATGCATGACAAACCCATGCTCACGTGCGACCGATTTCGATTGAAGGCAGTCACTGAGCAGTTGATGCCTCAAGACCCTCAGCATCCCTCAGCTCATAGTCCATCGAGGACTGCATGAGGACTTCCCTTCACACCCTGTTCGATTTGTGACGGGGGCCTCTGAACCTCGGGGTGGAGTTGAAAGGATTTGCGAACACAAATGCAGCGTGAGATGATTAATGTATAGAGCTTCTGTATTATTCTGTATGTGCACATGCAGATGCAGCAAAGCAGCCTTGAAGCTTTTCAGCGCCGCTCGCGCTTCATGTGCACTTCTAACACGGATGCCTTAGGAGCGAGGTGTGGTCAAGGGATTTCGACATCCAAACTTGCGAGTCATCAAAACGAAGCCACGTCTCATCGACAAGGATTCATTGAGCCATATGTATGTGACACCAGCCCAGTGCTTTCATCGAAGGCTGATCAGAAGATCTTTCAATGGGCAGCTGTAGCCCACTACCTTCTGTACATGTCCAAGGTTCCGTGTTGTGATAGCCGAATATGCTACCTAAGAATAGTAGGATTTTTCTGTTTTTCGGCTGCAGGTTGGGATTCGGCAGAACTCCTTGCAGCAGGATCTGGAGGCCTGGTTGTTCGGCTTGTAAATGCCATGTGTCGGATGTTGTTCCTCGGCATTCCAATCATGGCTTCGACCGATCATCCGCGATTGCTTGGGGCTGTTGGGGTGGCACGACCGACGGCAACACTGCGGCGACGTGGTCCCTGTCACGAACGTGTCCCTCTTCGCAATGCCCGCTTGTCACCGTCTGATCGGTTGGTACCGCGCAGGTGCACGCTGTATGCTGCGAACTTGCATACAGATTTGTACATGGGTGTACACAATAAATACTCAGCATGGCGCAGCGCCCCTCCCCGCGCTGTTCGAGCTGCGAGGCACCAAGCTCGGCAACCCCTGTTCAAATCACCCTTGCAGGGCCTGTACAACCTCGGAGTTGTCGTTTGCAAGGTGTGCCATGCAGCAAGGAAACGGCTCGGAATAAGAAAATCTTTACACGGGTGTGCAGTGTGCACAGACGTTTGTGACTGAATATTCCAAAGACAAAGCCTCTAAGTCCCACAATGTAAAACATCTCGGCTACCGTGGCAACTCCGGAATGCGTCAGCGAACCGGTGATAATGCGCGACTGCGCCTTTCATCTGCAAAGCCTCTGCCAAATCCCGTGCCATCTGGGATTTCGAGGAAACTCTCGTGCACTAGCTCAGGCCCAGGCTTACAAAGATCCGATTGGGATCCAACCTGATTCAGGAAGCTTCCGACCACCTCACGACAAAAGCGCGGTGTGCTTTCCTCGACAATCCTCGGTACTGCTGTTCCGCCATTGGCACGTCGGTATGCAGTCTTCTGCAAGGCATACACTGATTTGAAACGATCTCTGGCCACATTCCATTCCTCCCGCTGCACCACACACTGGTACGGCAGTAACTTTTGCCCATCCAGGAATTGATATGTGCGTACATTCACTCCGGTTCTTCGGAAGAACAGCCTAAGGTACTCCGACAAATGGAACGCACCACTGCCCACCATGACAGGATCGTAAGGGACCCATGTTGAGAGCCCCACCTCTTGGCCAGCCGTGATATTGGTCAGCTGCCCCGTCTCGCTCGTCTCCGCATCCAGAGAAGGGATCAAGGGCAGCCTCAAACCAAAGCTCGTGATGCTGAGCACCATGTAGAGGGTCCTATCCCTCTGCCACTCCAGCGTAGTCTGTGGTCTGTTGAGGTAGCGAATTGCCTCGCATCTGAGCGCATCTAGTACCAGCCGAATTGCATGAGCTGCCCGACTGGGCATCTGCAAGTGCTCTGACGTCCCCATGACAAAATGTACCGTATAGTGCCCATTCTCTTGTCGTCGGCAAAGCAACACGCAGGCTGAGGCTTGGTCTTGGCTCTGGTCGCCCAGATCCCTCCAAGTGAGAGAGCAGTCTCCCTTCTCTGGAAAGTTTCGTCTTACCCGCTCAATTGTTGTCACGGGCAGTGCCGAATGACCAAAACATAACTTGCCGGGCAGGCGCTGTGAGTGTAGGATGCCAAACAAAGTGTCACAAAGCCGGATCCATGGCCAGTCCACCCAGAAGTTCTCCAAGCATGTCCCGGGAGCATGCAGCTCTCTTACTTCACGAACCTCTTCCACACCCGTTGGATCAGGGTGGCACTCGCAGCTCCACGCTCGAGTTTCTGGCCGGACCAACAAGTAGGCAGGATCTTCTGGCGGATTTAAGATGACAACATCGTGAAGCAGGCACTTGATCAAGGTGTCACCCCAAGGACCCCTGGACTGGAGGAGCGCGGACGAAGGCTTCTGTACGAGGGTTTGCCAACCCTCCCGCGAGAGTAGATGTGGCACCAGAAAACACCAATCCTCGATGGTGTTGGGTCTTCTGGCCTCCGATGTCGCTGCCTTCATGGCCTTTCTAGGAAGCTAAGGGCCTCAATCTACTTTGGCAAGAGACTTGCATTGCAAAGCGGGCGTTGTCGGCCAAGTCATGTTTTAAAAGCACTCTGACTGAATGCAACTGATTAGCCAGTAAGTGCTAGCTGCTAACGGACACTTAGGCCTGCTCTGCTTTGTTCTAGCTCGCGGCGCTACTTCTCATGTAGCCAGGCCGCCTGCCATCTTCTCAGCCTTCTTTTTTGCCGCCTGCTTCAGCTTGAACATCTTGACCTCGCGGTCAACCCACCTGCGGTAAGAATACCGGTTGGATGAAGCGGCCGGCTGTATCAGTTCTGATCGGGAGGTTCCACTCGCACACAACAGCATCGCGAGAATCGTTGTTGAGTCCGAAACTGAGACCCGTCTACAGCTCCTGCGAAGGCGTGGGATGACACATGCGCAAGATTCGCCTCATGCCCCTCGCATAGATGCAGCGCACCTGCAGCAAACGAGGTAACCCAAGCTACGAGAGCGAACTGTGCCGCAGCCTACTGCCTACTACATAATGTACCAATGCACCATTCTACCTGCAACGTGCGCTGGCTAGGATCCATCGGCTTCTTGAAGCAATGATCGGGCAGGGTAAGATGGCAAACGAACAAGATCTTCCAAGTGCAGGCGCACAAACACAACTGAAACAAATAAACCCATCTTAGTATGTCCAACTCGCAGGGCCCACAGCCAGCCTCGTGCTCGCTCTCCATGGCAAAAGCATCGAAAAACATCTTCTCCTGGCCTGGCAGAGCCATGCGCGGGAACTAATCAGAATCAACAAGATCTCTCTATCACACAAGGAATGTCACGGGAGCGACCTTTAAACAGCAAAGCAGCTACTGCTGCCCGGTGTGGCATCAAAGCCGGTCTCATCAAACGCCTGGATCGTCAAAGCCTGAAACTGGCCAGCACCGGCCTGAACCCAGGAATTAACAGAAATCCACGCCCCTGAACTCTGGGGTCATCGGTACTACGAGTGGATCAATCCGCCCTTAGTTGCTCCAGCTTCCGGACGGCAAGAGCGCAGATGCGGCAGTAGCGTTCGAGAATAGCGACAGCGCAGGCATGGGAGTTGAGGTGGCGCAATTGACAAGAACACAACCGGATCAACTCAGAACGCTTGCCTCCGCTCCAACCAAACGCAGCAAGGCTTTCACAGAACTCCTGCTCGGAAAGAGCCTGCAAAGATGGCTGATGGCTACCGATCCTGCATAGCCTGGGCAACTCGACGGGAGCGCTTCTGCCACGGGTCATGAGTCATGAGCCTTGTCCACAGCCTTCTCCATGCCGCTGGAATCAGCATAGTGTTTCTGGAGCCGTCGGAGCATGTCCTTAACGTTGACTGCGCATCCACACGTCAAACCAACGCAACGATGTGGCCGCTCCACATGTCTTCGCACTGCACTACAACGCAGATATTCGACTCTCCGGATCAGGTTTCGTACTTCGCACCAACCATCTTAGACTCGACCCGATAAGCAGGACTGGCATGTCTTTTGCCCGCACACGCCAGACAAGTCTGGCAGGGCTAGGATGTATTCCCACGATAGAGGCAACATGGATAAGACTCAAACCCCCGCACGAGCTTAAAAACAGTGTGCGAAAATTTGCTGCACCCATCCGAAGCCTGTTGAGCTAGAGCAAGAAAAGGTGTTGTCGCAGGGCAACCTTCTAAACCCGAGACATGAGTTGTCGTGAGGATGGGGTCATGAAGCCACAGCATGTCGGGCATGACGCGTTGCCGCATTGTCGCGAGCCAAAACTACCGAACGAGATTTAAAAAAAATAAACTATATAAGGTTGACAAGAAGACCTCTGGAATGTGATCCCCGATGCTCACCAGGCAACATCCCAATACCGAAGCTTTCCCTTGAGCCCGAAACCTGGCGGCCAAGTTTCTTTAGTGCCGGCAAATGTGGAGCCAACGAATTTGGAAAACGATCGCCACAGCTCTGCCTGGCAGCCGGGGGACGGCTAGCAGGCTAGCATCCCGTCAGTACAGAACCAGACATGATGCCAGCGCTACCGTACACTAACTCCTACTGCTACTGCTTCTGCTACTGTTTCTGATGCCACTGCTGCTGCAGCTGCAGCTCCTCCTCCTGCTGCTGGCACTACTACTGCAATTGCAACTACGTTGGAACCAAGGCTTAAATCCTGCATCAGCTGGGAATGGGACACCAACTACAACCACCACCACGACCGCGATCGCGACCACGACCACTACAACAGCAACTACTACTACTACTACTACTACTTCTTCTACTACTACTACTACTACTCCACCACTACCACCACGACTACGACGAGGGCGACCTCTCACCACGACTGACTTCACCGGTTTCCTCTCACAAAAGAGCTTCTAACGTCACAGTACCTACTACATTGATGACATGTA